AAAAACGAATAGTGTTAATTTTGTAAATATTTCTTTTTTTTTTTTTTGCATTAGGATAATGATGATGGATCTGTTTATGGCATCCCAGGTTATATGGATCCTACAAGTTTTACATCAAAAGTAAGAACAAATGTCGAATTATTAAATTCATGTGCTACTTTTTATAATGTTTTAAACACAAACAAACAAACACAAAAAATATTAGTAAATAATAAGTAAATGTAATAATAATAAAATAATAAATGTGTATAAAAATGTATTGATGAGACAAATTACTTTGAAGGTTACTGTTAAAGCTATTTATGATTTAAAGCTAGAAGAGATGATGAATTGACATTAGTGAAGCATGCTATAATTACTAATGTCAATCCACAAAGCGGAGGATGGTGGCGAGGTGATTATGGTGGCAAAAAACAACATTGGTTTCCTGCAAATTATGTAGAACAAATAGATCAACAAGAAACTCAAGGAGATGTAAGTTTCGAGTTGCACATTTATTATTTGAATAATAGAGAAGATTGTAATTATATAAAAACACGCGTATATAACTATATTGCGAATTATTATATGTATGTAATATTATAGATTAGTAATAGATAGATACATCTGTGAATATTACATCTGTTTTAAGAACATCTTGTTTTTTTCAGTCAGCAGATTCTATGATGCTGGGTAGTTTGCAAAAAGGTTCATTAGATATTATGGGCGCAGTAGTAGAATTAACAGTTGGAGAAAGACCAGGCTTGGAATGGATTTTAAGAATACAAAATCCCAGTATGTGTTCAGTATTTGAAGTTGCAACATCTTCAAAAGATATCGCATTAGAATGGATGTCAAGCATCAAAGAAACCGCACAAAACGCAAGTGTTCGGGTAAATATATAATTTTTTTCCCTACAAAAAAATTTAGATATTAAGCATATATAGCATATATTATATATGTATATTCTTATTAGGAAAGTCAACACAAAGAAATGGAAAGAGCATGGAGAATAGCCAAGGAAATGTCTAATCTTATAGTATATTGTAGATCAGTTGCATTTAATATAGAACGAATAAGAACTAAGGGATTTACATTCAACGAAATGAGTAGTTTTCCTGAAACAAAAGCTGAAAAATTAATGTGTCAACAAGAAAATAAATTTTTTATAAAGTATCATCAGGTAATAAAGCATCTTGATTATACACGCGCGTGTATGTGTATGAACATAGTTATTGAAAGAAATATTAAAATGTAAATTAGAATACATATTTAGAAGATAATCTTTCTCTTTATAGATTCAATTCAGTAGAGTTTATCCAAAAGGACAGCGCATTGATTCATCTAATTATAATCCTGTACCAATGTGGAATTCCGGTTGTCAGATGGTAGCTTTGAATTATCAGACTGGAGATAAATCAATGCAATTAAATCAAGCTAAATTTAAAGAGAATGGAAATTGTGGTTATTTACTAAAACCAGAATTCATGTTTAGACATGATTTTAATCCATATGACAAAAATACATTGTATGAAATTGAACCGCTCAAAATTAGCTTAAGAATTATTGGAGCGAGACATTTAATGAGATCAGGAAGAGGCACTGCCAGTCCATCTGTCGAGATCGAGATTATAGGTGCAGATTTTGATTCGGGAACGAAACTAACAACAAGGACGATACGTAAATATTTATTATTTAAATTATTATTTAAATTATGACTTAATTGACATTACTTTACCAAGTGTATTAACTAACATTTAAATTTACAGAGGATAATGGATTTAATCCAATGTGGAATGAAACATGTGAAATTGAAGTATTCAATCCATATTTTGCTCTTATACGATTTTTAGTACAAGATGAAGATATGTTTGGGGATAGCAATTTCATAGGACAAGCTACTTATCCAGTAAGTATTTAATCATTAAAAACTTGAAGATATTTATATGCAATATTGTTTATGATATTTTTATGATTTTTATTTCTAATTCAAATTTTATCTTATTTAAGGTACGTTGTTTAAGAACAGGATATAGAAGTGTTCCATTGAAAAACATATATAGTGAAGATCTCGAGCTTGCTTCCTTATTAGTACACATTAATATTATAACTTTATCGGTAATGAAAAATTTGATTTCAAGTTACTGATTTATTCAAGTTATTGATTTATATTTAAATAAAAATTTTAATTCATTTTAATAACAATTTTTTTCCCATATAGGTACATAATGCATAAAAGGAAATCAATAAAGAATAAATCTGTGTTATAGAACATTAAATATACAGACTAGTACATAAAAATTACTAAATTAGTACGTGGAGTAAAGAGTAAGTATTTGTATCTTATATGATTTATTATGTATATATATATATATATATATATGTGTGAATGCGCGCGCGTGCGGTGTGTGTATAAGTGTACATATGTACACATATGTATATATATATATATATATATACATACATACATACTAATATTTATGTTTATTCCAGGCGAGTTTACAAGTATTGTAAGTGGTATCACAATAGTACACAATAAAATTAACACATATTAGATCAGACATATCGTTAAAAGACTGTATATATTTATATTAAATTTTGACAAATTAGGTATATTAGGTATATTATTATTAGAGATACAATGGCAACAGTTTGTTAAAAGTATTTCTATAATTGCAATAGGAAACGAAATAATTATAAATAAATAATCTGTGTAAATGTTCTTTCACCGAGAAGAACGTGAAGAGGATTTAAAATTTAGATTGATCAGTTGAAGAAAGATTCTAATTGTAGGAGAGACAATATACATGCGTGATATATAATATAAATAGATTTCGTTGCTATGAATATATATGAACATTATTCTAGTTGAACTTGTGATGTATCTAATTTTGTTTTTTTTATATATATATATAATGACATATATTTAATAATTTATACAATTAGAGAGAGCAACATTTTGAGCTGTCTTCAAGGAATAATCCTACATATCGTATAATGACTGAACAAATTTTCTTAATAATTAAGGAAATTTATCAAGTCACCATTTTTATATCTGTAATATTAATAATTGCATTGAACTTGAAAAGAATTGAAAAGAAGCTGTTATGCAAGAAAAAGAGAATATCCAATTACAAATTTAAAAATGTAATAAATAGTAACAAGTAGTAATATCAAATATAGGAATGTAACATGATTGCATTTAATATAAAGTAGAGGGAATAACGTATGGTTTATCTATGCTTCTCTATTGGATTCCATAAATGTTGATAAAATATAGCGGACAATAACAGTAAATAAGATAATATTGCAAATTTGTCTACACTTCGCAAATGTCAACAAAATTTGCATAGAAATAAGTAACGCACACTCCTCTCTTCTCTCTTTTTTAATGGAAAATTAATAATGGGAAACTATATCGTACAATCGTACAAGAACTCATCATATATAGATAAAAATGTCAATCTTTTATTTCCTCTAATCTAAAATTATATAGATATTATTGATTAGAAATCACTATGTTAAAGAAACGTATATTGAACGCGATACACTATCATACAATCGATAACTGCTGCTCAAATATCAGCACAATTATTTCTATTATATAGTAGACAAAGATTTTTAGCAATATTATATGTATATATATATATATATATATATATATATATATATATATATATATATATATATATATATACTATATGTATATATCATCACGGTTGCTGATAGAAATGTCTTCCTCAATAATTGTGCACACGTGTGCATTAGGTATCTATTTACATTACACAATATTTATCGGATCGCGTCTTCCCAATTGCAACGTGTGTTAGAAATACCGATGTTTTAATTCCTTTATATATTTTGATTGAGACATTATAGCTATATACGAATTATATTTGAATTGTATATGAATTATTCTGTTTTTAAATATATATATATATATATATATAGGAATTGGAAAGTATATGTTCGCTGTGCCTGTTCTTTATATTACGAATGATACATGATAAAACTAATCCGTGAAAGAGAGAGAGAGAAAAAAATGCATAGAAAGTAAGGTTCGCTTTGTTACATGCGCGACTAGACATATCAAATTAAATAGTTGTGCAAACAGTTCAGCATTACGAATCGTAAATAATTGCTAAAGAGATGAAGTATATATAGATATCCTTTAATGTTCTATTTATTGCAATATACATGCATAACATGTTATGTCACAAAATATAGGAAATAAATTTCTATATGCGTTTATTTCTTGTATTTTACATATGAAAGATCTTTAACATTAGAAATAAAGACAAAAATAATGGTAGTATAGAAAATTCAAACATAATATATGTATGTATCTTAAATATCTTTGTAAATTACGCTTTACAAAGCGCTCTTGAGGTACTCGTCAAACAGGAATACGGAAAGGGACGCATCACGTTCTTCCAACATATTCTTCAGGTCATTTGAATAACCTGCCAATTGTCTCACACGTTCGGTCAACGATTCCATGAAATGTTCTTCGATATAATGAGCGACAGCTGCATCCTGTTTAGTATGATGCTGTGCTTGAGAGTGAATGCGTAACGCTTCGTCAGCAAGTTGTTTCTCACTGTCGAGTGCTTTAGCAAGACTGCTTAATTCAGTCAATTCCAATATTCTACTATCCTTGACCTATGAACAATGATAACATTGATAACATCGATACAAACACCTTTCCTTCTGAGTGTGACACAAGCTTACAAATAACTGAACAAACAGACGCGATACTCACAAGTTTCTTGGAGCGTGGGAGCTGATTCATGTCCATCTTGCCACCACGCTCTGCGATATATTTGATCAAATCTATCGCTTCTTCCCATGATTTATCTGAAAGTTTGCGATACAATTTCTTAAATCCTTCACGATTGGCTTCGTAGTTTCCAAAATGCGTCGACAAGAGTAGAAATTCGAAACTTGTTTCAATATTAGCGTTTGCGAATGCCTGTAGCTCAGGTTGAAGAGTTTCGATAGCTCCATATTTGGCATTACAGTTTGATACTAATCCACCATCTAAAAGTATCGATAAGAAAAGATTTTTCTTTTGTTGTTGATTGAAAAAACAAAAGTAATATCATCTAAATTTTTACATATACAAAAAATGACAGAGAAAGAAAGAAAATGTAGGATTATAAAAAATAATACTCTTAACTATTTCATGCAAGTAAATATTCACATACTTTTGGGATTGGTGCTGCAGGCACTCTCAATATCGGTGTAACAGTATTCTGCAAAGGCAGTTAGGAAAAGGGCAGACAATACGCCGAAAAACAACATCTTTGCTGAAATTTAATAAATTATCAAGATAAAATACATAAATAGATGTACTCTCTTAGATGTATACGTATACATGTACATCCAAAGGATGTGTTTGTAGTATTTGCTCATGTATGAAAACACGAATGATTACTAAAGTTAAAGAAAATATGTTTCGCTATCGAAAAGACATTGTTACTTGAAATCTATCGATTTGTAAATACGACTTCTTGACGACGAAGCCGCGCGAACAATGTCAAAGTGTTTTGTATCTATGGCATTGTTTCTAAAAGATCAAAGATGAATAAAGTCGTTTAAGGTTGCCCAGGGAAATCTCGATCTCGATAACGGATAATTGATGAAAGAGAAAAGAAGTTATAGAAGTTCGTTAGAAACGAAATCGCATACATCGCTCGCTTATCGCAGCTCGGAGAAGCTAGAGCTGGGCTGGGAGAGGCTACATTGCGCGCTGCGCGATCGTTAATGACGTGTCCTGGACCGCGGATTTCAGATCGCAAATCGTAACAACAAAGCCGCGAGTTGCCAAGTGCGCAGTAAGTTTGATGACGCGCCGCGCGCCACGCCACAAATGCCGAAAGTAACCTCCTTAAAAAGTATAATCTCTTATCTACGTACGTGTAGAAGGGAATTATCGCAGTACAGGCTCGGACGATCTCTCAAATCACTTTTTCGTCGTCGTGAACGGTGCGGAACGTTCGATGGGAAGCAACGTGAATACTCTCGCTTCGACGTTCTCCCAATAATGAACGTTGCCCACCGCCGAGAGACAAGTTTTCACGCAGTCATAGTCAGCTGACGGGGGGCGGCGTAGCGCATGCGTCCCGCGCTACCGCCGGCCGTGGGGAATGGTGAGGTGGCGAGTGGGGAATGGTGAGGTGGCGAGCGGGGAGGACGGTACAAACGGATTTTAACGCCCTCGCTGCCCATCGCGCCATCCAGAGCGACAGCCCATTGCAATCCCATTGCTTCTCGTCTCGGCCGTATCTCGTTCGTCATTGTTCGCTTCCTCGCGTGAACCCCGCCTGCGATTAAAGTGCGAATGTCGCGCGTTCGTCGTGGACGATTGTCATTAGGTGATCGATGACCGTAAGACGCGTCTAGTCTCGCCACCGCCGTCGCCGCGCTCTTTTATCTGGACGAAGGCAGCCTTCTATACCAGTGCGTATAAAGGTTGCTTCTGAACGAGGCGAACGATCCACGCCGTGCCACGCCATTCCACGTTACGCCACGCCAGGTCAGGTCAGGTCAGGCCGCGGCATCCGATTGCTGGA